AACATAAAAATCCCAAACTGGATGTAACTGCTAAAATAATCTCAGCGGGGCAGCTGGGAGCTATAACCAGCCCTCCAAGCAGTGTGCTATTCGCTGCCTCTCGGGGAAGGCAGTATTTCTGCAACAGGCAACTGGAAAAGAGGCTGCAGTGATTTTTATCTTGCCTGATTCGTATCTACCCTTGCTTTCCTCCACACCTTCTTCTCCTTCAGACCCGGCAGGGCAACCGAGCCTCTCCTCCACATGTGTTGACATGGCTACAAATCCTGTTTGCAGCATACCACAGAGGCTGCGGCTCTGGCCTCTGCTTTCACCTTATTAAAAATTGCTGTATTTCCACGTTCAATGTCCTCAGATGAGAGGGGCAGTTTGCCAACACAAACACTTACTCTAAGCACCCAGAATGGGGGAGAGCAAGCTATCCCTGACTCGGGCTCTGCTCACTGGTCCGTAAAGAAGTTCATGCTGCCTCCTGTTTGGTGACTCTAAAGGGAACTGGTTGACAAATGCAGTGTTTGCAGGTTTACCTTGCTGACCATGGGCTGGGATAAGCACTGTTATTTTCCAACAAGGTTCCCCATCAAAGCTTCAAACTTCTATAGGAGAAGAAGAGAAGACTCTCTCTTCTCCTATATGGTTTGAAGATTGGGAATAAAAGGCAGAAAATACCCCCTCTCCTAAGTAGCACGTCACCAATGAACCCCACAGGATCCTCCCCTGTGCTGGTGAGCATACTCATCAATGAGCTGAAGAGAGAAGGGAACAACAAGATGACACAGTTTTCTGATGAAACTTGAGTTATTCAAGGAGGTGAAAATGAAAGCTGATCCTGAAAACTTGCTTAAGAATCTCATAATGCTGAGAGAATGGATGTTAAAACAAAAACTCACCCCTGAAGTGTAAAGTGACAGAAACACCTTGATCTGACATGTACAATGATGCACTCTGAGACAGCTATCACTGCTCAGGAAAGAGGTCTCGGGATTAAACCAGACAGCCCTGTGACAGTATCAGCTTGGTGGCTCAGCAACAGATTAAACAAAATAAAGCATCAACAATGAAGATGATCATCAAGGCATTGCACGTATCTGCTGAGCTTCCCCCATCTGTCTGTGGTTCTGCCTCCCCTCCACCCTGTGTCAATAAGGGTATTTCCACCACGGCAAGCTCACAGAGCCATGGTCAGGACAATCAAGGACATGGGATGGCTTCTCAATAACAGCTAGCTAAAGAGCCTGGGTCTCTTCAGCCTGGAAAAGAGATGGTGGAAGGGACCATGAAGATGGGAAGAGAAGTTTACTGAATCCTGAGCCACACGGGAACATGAAGAGATTATCCTACTGGTATCCTTCAGAAGAGAAGATCACAAGGCATTCACTGGAACAGACTCAGATAAGGTTCAAACAGAAGGAGGTACTTCTGACAGAGCCTATAGTTAAAATGTGGTTCATGAAGCCATATGGAAACCCTCAGAAGAAATTAAGTGACTAAGGATCAAAGGCATGACGATGCTCAGGCCTTCAGAATTGTTCTGTTCTCTCAGTACCACTCCACTGGGACGGAACCTGGATGTTGTGACTGTCAAAAGTTAGGCAATTTCTCAAAGAAAAGGCACTCCCATCTGCAGCCAAGTGCCACTACAAACAAACGATGGCAAGCCTTTGTTGGTGATGGAAACGCAAAACAACTTCTGTCCCCCACGACAACATTGGGTCTTGACTGGGATTTTCTACCACCAGCATAGCTGTGAAAATTCTGGGGAGGATGATGGAGCAGGGAGGCACGAGAGCTTTGTTCCGAATACAACACACTTGCCTACAGGAATACAACTAGAAAGGACGTGGTCTCCAGAACCAGGCTATTTCACTGATGGAAAAACATGCCCCAAACCATGGAGCCACCAGTCCGCCAGAGAAACACTGTCTTCCTCTAAAGCCTGTTGAAACTAATCCAGCTCCAGCATTTGTTTTTGAGGGGAAACTATGGAAAACATGCCCAGTAGCCACATAAGAGAAATGAACCCAAAACTAAAGTTGCTGGAACAGGGAGTCCGTTAAGAAGCTCTGTTTCAACACGTCCTCAGATGCTCAATTAGAGAAGCTTGTGCCGCACGTACTAGAACTTTGTGATTGCTATGGTGGTCATGAAGTCTTGTGGTTTCACTGCTTGGATAACAAAATCATTAATCATGACCATAATAGTAATTCTGTAAAACCAGTGCAACACATTTCCTTTTGCAAGTGAGCCACACATATCTGAGGGAGCACACGTACTGCATGTTTGATATGGTTGCTTTGAGAAACAACACCAGGCTCCTACATGCAAATGACTGTGTTGTGATTATAGATATGTAATAAATTTTATACTTTATTTATATAT